AAAGAGACGCCACTTGGGAGGTCGTCTGTGGATTTAAAGGGAGAAACTGGAAGAAGCTGAATCTTGTCGGCTGATCGTTACACTGCAAAATCTGATGATGGGGAGATTTAGGGCTTGAGGAGGTTGTGTTTTGGAGCTCTCTCTGAGCTCTCATCTCCTTGGCTCTCTGAAGTTGCCTGAATCTCTCTTGCAGCAAAGCTATGGAGGATTGCATTGCCATTTGTTCGTTTCGTTCTCTGGCCATTCCTGAGTGCTATGCCGATGTGGTTGGAGAGGGAAATGATATAGCGTGGCTTTTAGGGCTGTGACCAACTTGATGAGTGTCATGCGGGCTATTTATATATACGTACGTGGAGCAAAAGTTAAACTTTGCATTAAATATATGCATGAGATTACATTTTATATTTATTTCCTATCCAAAGGGAACAAAAAACAGCTAACGAACCCATCCACATTTATATTGATGATGATCCTAGCTAGACCGATTGTAAATTATTAAAATATTAGAAACATGGCATTTTACGAGTCAGCTGTCAAATGTTTTGTAACCTGATGTGAATAAAAATTGTCGTTGGTTCATCACCCAACGTGAAGCATGTGTTGTGAGTTTATCTTGTATCACTACATGATTTGTTTTGACCCTGATCAACTCTCGGATGCACCTCACATGATTTCCCCGTATTATATAATATGCAGATAATAGAGGTGTATCCCCTAATCATAAAAAAAAACTATATATGTTTAAATATCCAACGCACTTTCTCAATATAATAATCAAGCATTTCATTATTTTTCTCAACAATTATATATACCGTATATATATGTTTATTTGAATTTCACAATATGAGGTGAACTTCATCATTTGGTCTTGTTGCTGTGTCACAAGCTATGTATGATGTATGTATATGGAGAAGGCGCTAGTTTTGCGTAGATATCGCGAAATAGTAATTGGTTTTGATATATAGGATGGATGATCGATGGGGGAAAAAGGAATGAGGGTTTTGAGTGGTTCGATGAGATTCCGAAAGGCATAAAGAGGGAGAATCGGGAGGAAAGCGGGAAGAGAACAAGGGGAAAGAGGCAAAGGGACAATCTAAGAAAAGAGTACTTTGGTTGGATGAGTGGAGAGAGCAAAGTGCAATTGCCAAGGCAGAAAACGGCTCCCCGCATCGCGACAATGGAATGTTTGAAGGGAAGCACATGGAGTGGTGTGTTTGGAGGAATATTGACCTGCCTTTTTCATCCCCCGTACGTTACTTTAATTTAAATATACTCGGAAATAATAATCTCTCTAATATTATATAAATTTAAATATCCAAATAAAACATACATTCTTTTTTATCTAGGCACCCAAACAAAAAAAGATTAGGTACAACTTCGTTTCAAATATGCTTGTTTAGACAATATATATGTGGGTATACATGAATAACCTATTTGAATTGAAAAGGAGGAGATTTTGGTGGCTTGGGAGATGGCGAAATGGAGCCACTTATTTGTCTCCACATCAAATCTTCTCGTAGGAATTAAGCATTGAAAGTCCAAACACTAAAGAAGAGTGATATAAGTGTGAAAGTTGTTAATTCTTTAATAGATTATACACTTTATCCTCTCTTCTGATTTGGAATCGGTCCCTATAAAGTGTAAAAAGACAAAAACATTTTAGAGTATAGGGAATATTTTCTCTTAATCTTTATCCCCTAATTATGACAATGACCACACATTTTCACTCACGACATTAATCCCCTCTCGATCTACCCAAACCTACTCCGTTTTTTATAAGATAGATATTCTTATCTCCTCATGTATAGTCGTGCATGTATCTTTAATATGAACAGACTAAAAAAGCCCAAATCACTAAGTGACGATTGCTATAGATATTGCGTACTTGTTCTTAGTTTTTCTCAATTTAATCAACGATCTAGTTTAACTTCATTCAAATACAACGTGTAGACTACATTTATCTCTAGCTAGCAAGTATTAAAACTATATAGAAATCCTCATTTGTTCAACTAAAATGTATATCACATAGTACCATATATATATATATATATAACAATTTTTTTGGTTGCGTGCTCTCTCTCTCCTTCCCTCCCTCTTTTTAATCATGTTCATATAGCTTATAGTCAGTGATCGTTTTCTGTTGGGTGCTATATAGCTTATTATATATATATATATATATTAAAGAGAATAATCACTAATTAAGGTTGCGTATGTCATTAATTTGAGTTTCTATGTATCTTGCATAGAGTCAACTGTGCGTGAAGAAGTCGGTCGTTGAACTAATGGTCCTACGGATCAAATCATAATGGTAATTGATTCATGGCACGTAAGGCTTCATCGCGTGTTCGAAAGGGAAAAAGGTGGAGGGGAGTTTTGTCGGGAAGTGATTGGAAGGTAATGGCATGCACACTCCAAGGCTGAAGATGCTACGGCGTTTTTGTTGGGTGTGGGCCTTTGGGTATCTGCGAAATCGCAAATGCTCCATCCATTATCTGATATATTCAATAATATTGATTAATTAGTGAGACGAGACAAATTTATTTTGGGGATTAGTTGAAGATTATTAGACAACGCGTGCATGTTTCTTGTATCCCCATGACAACCACTCCACGTAAATTAAACTAACACATCCTCCATGTTTTGCAGCTCTTGGATCTCTTATTGCCTAGGCATTCTTTAAATAAAAAAAAAAACTGAGATTTCGAAATCTGAGAGAAAGAAAATGGAACGAATTTTCTGTTATATGTATTGAAAAATGAAGAAGCAAATCTTTATACAATCGAAAACAACAAATCAAAATAGTAAATCTGTATCCAAACAAGGAAGTAACTAAACCGACTCAAACCACGATGCTAAACCAAACAAAAAAATAATCGGTATAAAACTATATATCTAATACTCCCCTCAAGATGGAGCAATTAAGGAATGTGCGTTCATCTTGCCAACAATCTGCTGAAATTGCTCCACATACACATGTTTAGTCAATGTATCCGCAAGCTATCCTTGGTAGAAACGTGTAATGGCTTCAAGAGCCCCGACTTGATTTGATCTCTAACAAAATGACAATCCAACTCGATATGCTTTGTCATTCTATGAAAAACAACATTATTCGAGATGTGGATCGCGGAAACACTGTCACAAAACAATGTAACAAGTTTCGGATAATCAACATTCAACTCCTTCAAAACTGAAGCTACCCAAATATAAGTTCAAAAGTCGTCTGAGCCATTGCCCTATATTCTGACTCAGCGCTACTCCTGGAAATCGTAACTTGTTTCTTTGATTTCCAAGAGATTAGAGTAGATCCAAGAAATACACAAAAACCCGTCACTGAACGTTGTGAATCTGGACATACAGTTCAATCTGTGTCCGAGTATACACTCTATTGAATAGGATTCTGAGAAGGATAAATCATACCATGTGATATAGAACCCTTCAAGTAACGAAAGATACGATGCTTGCATATGATTCGAGTGAGGCTTAACCATATATTGACTAATTAAGCTTATTAACAGAAAAACAAATGTCTGGCCTGGTGATGCAAAGATAGATCAATTTTCCAATGAGAGTTTCTGATACTGTAAAGGATCAGGAAGTACCTCACTAGACTCAGCAGCAAGTTTCTGGCGAAAGTCCATAGGTGTAGTTGTTGGCTTGCAACCAAGCATCCCGAAATCTTCTAACAACTCCAAAGTGTACTTCCTTTAACACACAGATACTCCAGACTTGGATCCAACTATTTCGAGACCAAGGAAATACTGTAAATTATCAAGATCCTTAATCTGAAAAACAACATGTAAAGCAGATTTAACAACAACAACCAACAACTCACAATTTCCAGTGATTAAAATATCATCAACATAAACTAATACATCAACTATTGAACATTGTCCTTCTTCATAAAAATAGAATTATCAGATTGTGATTGTACATAACCAACGGCAATTAACACCTCAAAAATAACAATCGAAAAGAGAAATGAAAGCTGAAATCAAAGAAAAAACAGATCGATTCGAAGCTTTGATACCATTTTGTAAATATGAGATTTAGAAATCTGAGAGAAAGAGAATGAGACGAATTTTCTATTATATATATTGAAAAATGAATAAATAGGTCTTTATACAAAAGAAAACAACAAATCAAAATAGCAAACCTGTATCCAACTAAGGAAGCAACTAAACCGACTCAAACCACGATGGTAAATCAAACAGAAAAATATCCGGTATAAAACTATATATCTAATATTTTTGTTAATTTATTATTACAAATATTTCTTAAATTAGGATTGAAGTGGAAGAAATTGTAGTTTTTATGGTTTTGTAATGGATAAGTACTTGGATTTATAAATAATTGAGATTTTAAATATAATTTTTTTAAAAATATGTTTTTCACTACGCCTTATATAATAAACTAAATCCTAAACCTTTAATGAAGAGACAACAACTAAATCAATATAACGGACAAAACACTACGTAGTTTTCGTATTATAACCCAATCAGTATAAATTCGTCTTGTTCGAATTTTAATTGCAAATAAATAGTCCAATATAAATTCGTCTACTGCAAATTAAGTTCATACAGTATTAGACGAAGTTGACAAAGTTTACCGTTTTAAAAAAACAAATCGCATCTAAATATCTAAATTTTTAAAAAATTTCAAATAAATACTTTAACTATAAATTTCTCAAATAAATACCTCAATTTTTTAAAATTTTCATATAAATACTCAAATTTCTAAAAATTTACCAAATGAAACAATATTTGTTGACGCTAAATTATCAATTACCGATGGATTCCGTTGTAAATTTAATGTCGTTAATGAATTTTGAATTTATTTGGTAATTTTTTAAAAGTTTGGATATTTATATAAAAATTTTAAAAAGTTTAGGTATTTATTTAAAATTTTATAATTTAGATATTTATGTGAGAATTTTGTAAAAGTTCAGATATGTGATTTTCTTTTTAAAAAAATATAAAATTATATTTTTAGTATATGTAATATATTGAATTTCAGATAATAAAAATAAGACACTATAATATGAGAATATTAAAACACTGGATAATAACGAATGATCATATTAAAAAAAAAAAAAAGAAGAAGAGGAGGCCGTCGCATGTTCGCTTCACGCGCTTCAGGAGATATGGCATCCGCCCTTTTAATAATTCAGCTGATTTCCGTGGACTATAGAATTATATTTTTTAAAATATAAAATTATATTTTAATATATGTAATATATCAGATCATAAAAATAAGACACTAGAATATGAGAATATTAAAATATTGGATAATAACGAGTGATCATTTAAAAAAAAAAAGAGGAGGCCGTCGCATGTTCGCTTCACGCGCTTCAGGAGATGGCATCCGCCCCCTTTTAATAATTCAGCTGATTTCCGTGGACTATAGTATGCCAAAACTAACCGCACGCGCTCAACGCGCTAATTGTGCGCGTGAAGTTTTCCTTTTCTTTTGTCTCGGAATTGTGCCGCGCCATCTAGACCACAAGGCCCATTCGTTTGGGCCTCTTATGGTCTGTCGAGGCTTTATTTATGGGGCTTTATTATCGTCTAAATTTTAGTTTTAACCCATTCGTTCCGATCATCTAAAGATTTTCATGTAGTTTGCTAACCATACATATTTATATAAATTATTAATATATAATACAGAATAGGTATTTATCAACGCGATAAATTCACGATGGCAATTACAAAATAAATGGAATATATTTATGCTCCCTTTTGTCTTTTTCTTCATTTCCCCGGTCCCATTCCCTCAAAAAGAGAAAATGGGATCAGTCATGGAAGTGAAAATAGTCAGAAAGACCATCGGTGTTACCATGAAGGGAGGGCTGATGATGAAAGCCGCCAAAGGCCACCACCATGGCCATGACCACTGCCGTGGACGCCAATAGAGGCCAGAAATACGCTACTATGTTCAGAAATCTGGGCGCCACCATCACAACCACCATGCTTATCACTATTCCTGCGATCATATGGTATCTGTACTCCATCATCTTCGCCCGCATCTCCATCAGGCCAAAGGCTATGGATTGGTTTGTTTCCTTCATCTCTAAAGTTGGGGCCGGCCTTTCTTATATACGCAAGTCTCAAGTCCTTTTCCAGATTCTGCGTGCTTTGGTGAAGATTCCCTCTTTATTGATTAATTAATCCACCAAATGTGGCATGAACGGAAAGGGAAGAGCTTGGGCTTGGCAACGCGACGAGGGCACAGAAGTAATTTCAGATACGCATTTGTCCATACATGGAGGGTTTCAGAGAAGACGTTCATTGAGAATCCAGGGAAAGGCATCATCGCCTTTTCTTCCTCCGTCGCAAGGATGCCCAATAAAGTCTTCTTCTCCCCTTCGTATCCGTTGGAAAGGGATCAACTTTCTCGGAGCTCTTCCTTTTACGTTATGTAGAACAACTCTGCGTCGAGCCTTGTGAGACTGCAATTATCACATGATTGGGAATATTGGGAAAAAAAAACTAAAGACTGACGATAGATTTATAAAGATATAGACCAACGTCGACCTATTCTCGGAAGAACTAGACAGTATAGCAGTTGGCAACATCCTATAGACCCGAGTTTAAGGGAAATTTTCAAATGTATATGACCTGAGTTTGCTAACAGAACAAAAATCTTTCCCAGTAACAAGATAACAAGAGGAAATCTCAAATCCAGACACCGCAGCTAAGCAGAAACTCCCGACGAACGCCTAGATTCCAACCATGCCTTAGCTGCGACGCTGGTAGTCAAAAACCATCCAACTTTGTCTGGGGCCTCATGGAAAGGGGCATTAAGCTCCTTCAAGTGCGATTCAAAAACAGCTGCAAGACCTTTGTCTGAGTATTTGTGCTTCCCATGTCCAGTGTTGATTCCAAGCAAGGGAGGAAACTCTTCCCCAGATTCCAATGCCTTTGATAGGTCGTTTATCCAAACATGAAGGGCAGTCAAGGCTGCCCCAAGAGAGAGACTTTTTAGATGAAGTGACCATTGGGTGGCAGATTTGGAATGGATACCAGAGTAAATTTCACGTTCAAGGCCCAGCTCTAGGATCTCACATGCTCTTTCCAACATACTGAAATTCACGCAGAGATCAATCAAGCAATTCAAGTATGCTTTCTTTACATCAGAGCCAACGGAATCAATCAGTTCCGATGTTTCTTTCTTGAAGACCCCTTCTTCGCATTCTTGCTCCTGCATCAAGAGCTTTACCACATGACCAAGCTTTGGCTTAGCCTTCTCAACACAGTCGATGAGCTTAGAAATTTCCTCTTTTGGCGTCTGGGTCATTACATTCAAAAGGCAGCCACAGAACCTCTCATCAGGAGTTATGCCCAGTCCCAAAACCTCATTGAATGTCCTCACAACATCATCTGCCCGTTTGGCTTTCCCGTAACACTGAATAAGTGATGTTAAGATGAAAAGATTAGGCTCGAAACCAGCTTCTTTCATCTCATGAAGTGCTGCCTCAGCCTCTGAAACCTTGCCGCTGCAGGAATATACAGTAATCATTGATGAGAAAGTCCAGCTGTCAGGCTCACTAGCCCCGGAGCTCTTCATATCTTTGAAAATTTCAAACGCTTCATCCACATATCCTATATCGGCACACATTGACAAGAGAGTATTGTAAAGTATCACATTCAGAGCAAATCCTTTCTCCTTCATCTCTCTGTACGTAATGAGAGCATCATCACCATAGCGCGCTCTGCCATAAGCTCTTATAAGAGCAGCATAACTATTCCAATTTGGTGTAAACCCATTACTGATAAGATCCTTGTAAATGATTTTAGCCTGCCAAGGTCTCTTGGCTCTACCCATAGCATCTAACAGCCTGTTATAGACGACCAGATTGGGCCTGACCCCAAGAGCCTTCATCTCTTCATAGATATTCAAGCATCCATCATAGTTTCCGGAAACACCATAGATCCTAATCAAAGTTGAGAAGGTCACAGGATCAATCCGCCACTTCTCAGTCCTCGCACGATCATACAAGCTCAACGCCATATCAACATTACCCGCACGACCATAAGCATCGATCATAGCTGAGAAGGTGACATCGTCAGGTTCACATCCAAAGTTCGGCATTTTCTCAAACCATTCGACAGCCCTACCCGGTAGAGCACACTGTCTAGCACAACTGATTAGAGTGGTAAACGTCGCATTGTCAGGTTTGATCCCTCTCTCGACCATATCATCGAACAGCTTCTCCGCTTTGTCCAGATTCTTGCATTTTCTAAAGACCTTCATCGTGACGTTATAGAGAATCACCTCCTTACTCGGTTTCAGCTTCTCCAGAAAATAGTTGAGCACCAGTAGCGCGGTTTCTGGGTTTGTCATGTTATTGAGAGTAACAACAGCGTCTTGTTCGAACAGCTTACCACCGAAACCACTTAAAACATCGAAAACATCCGCCTTGTCTGGATTACAGGCATCCAGAGACTCAGCTAGTTTCACAAGGGAAGAGTACCTCGAATCATACGATTTCTTACGAAGCTGAGAAGCCCTGGGACTGCTGGGATTAACCCAGACGTAGCTTTTAGACGATGACGAAGAGGAATTCGAACCTGGATCCGGAGGATTCGTTTCATGGATGACGACTTCGTTCCGGGTTTCCTGGGAAACCGCATCTTGCACAGAGACGCGGCTTATCTGGAGATGATTTCTGGAATGGAAGGGAAAAAGTTTCAACTTGTCAGTGCAGAAGAAACTCCTTGGGAAAGGTTTATGAGGAAACGAACGAAAACTGCAGAGAGGTTGAATGTCGTGGAAAAGAGACGAAGGCGACGAGCACATATTATACGCCATTTCGCTGCTGGCTTCCTCTCCCCTCGTTCGCCGTCGGGACTGAGAGACCTTATCCAAGCTCGTCAGAAATAGGGAGAACCTGAGAAAGAAATGTATGTTGTTTTGGTCTTTGAGGAGGAAAATGCATGACGGTTCTAGGAAATAAACCAGTGCGTAGTGCAATTGCAAATGTCCTAAACAATAGGTCCACAAGAGAAACTGGATTGGGCTAATAATTGGCAAGTGGTGGTGAGCCCATGCAGTGGACTCTCTAAGCCCAGATGACCTCGAACTGTTGAAATGAAGTAAAAGAGAAACTACAACATATATTACTGAACATATACAGGCCTTAAGACGGATGTACACTCTATGTAGGATACCAAAAGAACAAAAAAAAAGTTCATTAAAAAAACAATGTTATATTTATATGCTACAGACATGCATCTGTAATAATTGGGATTTTATAATAATGGTAAGTTGCTTTTAAAATGGTTTAGCTTTATGATGGAAGCAGGAATCTCCATTAATTTCTCGCTTTAGATTTTAATAAGAGGGGTGTTAGTTTGGCGTGTATCAATGCCACCGACACTTCTTCTGTTGTGTAGAACGTTGATTATTTCATACATTCCATGATTACTCCACCTAATCATGTGCCTAACCTTGCTACCCAATGTGACGTAATACCTACAAAACCTAGATGAAATAATGAATCCGGATTCCTTTTCAATAATCATTTTGTACTTATTGTTGTTTTAGGGGAAGGTTTTATCTGATAGCTGTTACACATACACACTGATATGACTTGTTCCGCAATCAAACGAACCATATTTACATTTATATATGATCATATTGAAACATGTTCGACAAACTTTTCCTGGTATAGTCAATTTGAATATATTATGAAGGAAAGTGAGTTGGGTAAACCCTAAAGTGTTTATTCTTTTAAGATCTTTTGATTAAGATACAAGTCAAGAAGGCGAAGCGAAAAAAGAATATAACGATACCAGCAACCACCTTGATGTAAGAAAAAGAAGTTGGATGTTGGACCGTATCACAAGTTTTGTTATAAAATGAAAAAAAAAAAAAATCATTCATGACAATAAAAGACGTAGGAAAAAGGACACTTGAGTTGAACGGGAAAGGCACGTCATTACGGTTTTTAGTTTTTTTTTAATATATGAAAATGAAATAACACCCTCTGTATTACACCCGTAAATGGGACAACCAATTGGCTACCATTTACAAATACCAAGGTTCATCCTTATTCTGCTTATCCATTACCGTATACTATTGCACCTCTATATCGTGTTTAAAACAAATCGTAAACATTACAAGGGGAAAATAAAAGGAAATTATGTATGGGAAGAGAAGGATTAAATGATGGAGCAGCTCTGGGGATTCTCTTCGCTGAAGTAATCGCAACGGGAGGGGTGACAGTGGCGGTTGGGAGGGCCACCGCCCCAGCTGTCGTAGACGGGGCGACCGTAACACTCGTAGTAAGGGGCCGGGATTCCGTAGCCATGGAAACAAGGCCCATTATAGTATGGCCCACAGCACATTGCCATCTGCTGTCCTGGTAACGCCGGCTGTGGCATCATCGGTTCCGGCTGTTTGGGGGCCGGCGCCGGTGCCGGGGCTGGGGCTGGGGCTGGCTTGGGTGCAGGGGCCGGGGCTGGAGCTGGAGCTTGAGCTGGAGCTGGCTTGGGGGCGGGAGCGGGGGCGGGGGCAGGGGCAGGGGCAGGCTTGGGTGCGGGTTTCTCGGCCTCTTTGGGCTTCTCGGGAGTCTTAGGTTTCTCAGGGGCTTTGGGCTTTTCGGGCTCTTTGGGCTTTTCGGACTGTTTGGGTTTTTCGGGGGCCTTGGGTTGTTCAGGTTCTTTGGGCTTAGGGGGAGGCTGGGGTTGGGGTTGGGGCTGGGGCTGGGGCTTGGGAGGTTGGAGGATCTCGATGGACTTGATGGAGCCACCTCCCTTGCAGCAGAGTTTGTCCATTATCTTCTCCGGGCTGCAGCATACCACCTTGATGATGACCGTGTTTGACTTCTCATCGAACACTTGGTCTCTTATTTCTCTTGTTCACAACCACACAGATCAACTCTCATCTCAGTCTATTCCCCCTCCAATTCTCATCATTTTTACCATCCACCCTATCTTTGATTCATCAACATAATAGAGAGATATAGAGGAGAGAGAGAGAAAACTCACGAGGAAATTTGCAGAGAACCTTCTTGACCTTGCGGTAGCACTTGGAGCACTCCAGATCCACCTTCAGCTTCATCATCGTTACCTGTATTTGCATATTATGTAAAACTCAGGGATATGTGATCTACATATGGTTTTAAGAAGTTTGCTTGGCCACACACTTTTTTAGGCGCCAAAGTTACCAAAAAAGAATTGAAGAACTGATTCGGCTTCTGACAAAAAGGAAGCATGGGGCTGGAGAATCTGCCCTTCTTCCCACAAACCTCCAAAAAGTTTTAATTTTTTTAATCCAAACAAAACAAAAGAAGAGAAAAATCCTGAGACACAATACCTCCACCTTCGGAAGAATAGAGAATCAGAGATCAATTAAAAAAAAAAGATGAAATGACTATCAAAAGGAGCCTAGTAAATCCAAACCCCACATTCCAAAATGACTGTTTAACGAAAGGAAAAATCGAAACTTTCAGATCAAAAAACGAGAATAAAAAGAAGATGAACGAAAGGAGACAAAGAAGGGACCTTCTCCTTGCCCTTCTCGGCCATGGCTTCGAAGTGAGAGCTGAGATCTGAGCCTCAGACGGTGGATGACTCCTCAGGGAGAGAGAGAGAGAGAGAGAGAGAGAGAGAGAGAGAGAGAGAGGTGGGTGGATGAGAGATGTGTCGGTTTTTATAATAATGATGTAGTGGCATCTATGAGATTGGTGTAAACTGTAAAAGGGTCTGGGCTCAAATTCAATCGCGAACGCTACAAACGGCAACGCGACGCGTGTGGAGCTGGCGTTGAAATTGATGTGCTTAATCGAGTTTGGTCGTGTATTTCGTACGATCCAATTGAGCTGCCATCTCCATTCTTTTCTCTTTCTTTTTTCTTTTGTTTTGTTTTTTTAAAAGGAAAAATTAAAGGTGTGGCTGCTGAGTGTACAATCATCCAACACCATGTGCCTCATTTTCCTCGAACTCACTTGCCTTCTCCCTTTTTTTTTTATTGAGTCCCTAAACCCAAAAAATAAAATATTTATGTGACATCATTTTAAAAGGGAGAGAGGTGAAGATAGTATCTATGTAGCATATTTACCAATAAACATAATTTAAGAGAGAGAGAGGTGACGATAATAAATGCGTTTGCACATCCAAACGATAAAAGGGGAGGAGAAGTGTGGGTCAAGTAAGCGAAATCAATGGGCCGTGCTGCCTGACACGGAGACCTTCCACGTGTCCATACCCTACTTGTTTATTTCGCCCAAATTGTAAAATCACGACCGAATGCGTAAACTTTGTACCGTGTTATATTCTCCTGGGTAGATATGCAGTTACACTTACTGGTTATTAATAACATAACCTTAAAAAAATTGTGCGTATGGAATGGAATGTCGCGGTGATGGTGATGAGGAGGAGGAAAGTACTGGAGACTATAATAGAAGTCGGTAAGCCTAATCCCACTTTTATGAGGGGGGAAAACAACGAGACAAATGAACCAATCATTTTCCCCTTCTACCCAATTGGCAGGATGTTGACGTTTCCTATTGCAAGAAAATAATTCAGAACCCGTGTGCGGCTTTTCCATTTGATTTAATTCCGAATTAAAATAATGATGTGAGTTGGATCAGAGGTGACGACAAGGTTCTCCAACTCCCTTCCTCCCATCAAATCCGCTATTTTATTTTCTTTTTCCTAAGCACAAATATACAAAATCCGAATGACATTCTCATGTGGTATCTATGCATACAAAATATATACAACACGTACGTACGTGTAAAAAAGTACATTTTAATTTATTTGATTTGCTTTACATTATTTCAGTTTCATTATATTCCGTTTTTAATATTTTTTTCCTTTTCTATTTTTGCTTTCAGATTAAAAAATGTATCGTGAATAGAAAATACAAGTTATCACGATCACGATATGTTATGCTCTCTATTGATATGATAATAAAATTTGTGTAGCGAGTTAAAGATCCATTGGCATTGGGTCTAGGAAGACCAAAAAAGCAGGCTAATTGACATTTATATATGGCATGGATATGGGCTAAATAAGGCCCAAATTAGTCCATCCGCCGCGCACGTGCATACACACTCGTAAAACATTGACAAGAGAGAGAGAGCATTTGAATAATTGGAAGTTGTGGGCGATACTGATACATGTACACATATATGTGAGGGAGGAGGTGAGTTTTCTAAAACCTTTGAGATTGATATCGATTTAGGAAGTAAATAGGATTATAATGAAGAAGAGGGTTTGATACACATATATATATATATATATATATATATATATAGGATTATAATGAAGAAGAGGGTTTGATACATACATATATATATATATATGTGTGTGGAAGTCAAAATAAAGAGAGAGAGTGGTGACTGGTGAAGATGGATATGCACTTCGAGGCTTGCTCCCTCCCTCCCTCCTTTGCCTCCCTCGTATCTTTTATATTATACACTGTTGATGTTAGTAAAATTCTGCGTACTTGAGCTTGGCTGTGTGTGTAATTCTTTTTCATGCCACTTTGTTCGATCTCTCATATATATACTTTTTTTTCAATCCAATACTGGAACTGTATTGAATATAATTGTATACCCTGGAGGGTGGTAAAGTCCAGTAAAAGTAGCAAATAAGACTTGTAAGGCATCTTGGGCTCTAATGTACATATACATATATGTAATCTTCGTTTATAGAGATTGTAATAGTCATGGATGAATTCGGAAATGTAAAAATTTGCGTAATGATATTTTTTTTTATTAAATCTCAAAATGACATGATACGACTTTTATATTAAATAAGTAAATTAGATATAATAATAAATATTTTTAAATATATATTTTTCGGATTGAATTGATAAGATCTCTATTATACGATATATCTCGTAATATTCTTCAAGATCCGATATATCTCAACATCCCTTCAAGTTGGAGCGTGAGAACTTGTAGAAAAGATGATCAAACGTATACCGCTTGGACCATATCATCATCTTGAAATTTGTATCAATAGAAGTTATAACTGGAAAAAAATTAAACGAACGACTGCACTGCAAATTTGGCAACACGCAAAAAGAATCGTTCGATGATAATAAAAAAAAAACCGACAATCGCGGTGTGAAAAAGAAATATCGGGAATAACTCTTATATGAGAAAGACAACTGTACGAAAGCGTTTAGTGATAACAAATTTTTACAAAAGTAAGATGATTTATGGTTATGCGAATAATCTTTTTAAACATGTGGGATTATGAGAGAAAATTTAAAAAGGAAAAAATATCTCTTTTATTCTTAAAAAACTCATTATCACTAGATGAGTATATCATCATCATCATCTTCATCTTCACTTTCATTGTCAACCACCATTTTTTATGAATAGACCAATAAACTAGAAAAAACCAGACTCTGATACCATGTATAAATTTGCGGAATGATATTTTTTTATTCAATTTCACTTTAATAATAAATATTTTTAAATATATATTTTCCGGATTCGATAAGATCTCCGTTATATAATATATCTCGTAATATTTTTCGAGATCCGATATATATAACAATGGCTTTCACTTCAAAGAAGATGTTTGTATCAATTTGAATTTTCGACTAGAAAAGAGTTGATACTTTTTGTGAAAATCAAATTGATAAAAATCATATAATCATTCTCAATCTTGTCATCCAATTTTGGTGTGGTTAACATTTGGCCATCGTTTCAATCTTTATCGAATGCCCTCTGTAGGTCACCAAAGTCTTTTAAGGCCGGCCTTCATAAGATTCGGTCATTTTTTTTTTTATGTGGAAACATCGTCTTGGTCGTTGTAATTCCAACTATTTATTTAACCCCTGTCCTGGAGACAGTAGTGATCATATTCGCTGAATTTGTAATCTCCATGATGCGGATATAGTTTACTCCTATGGTTAAACTGCCAAGAGTGTGGCAAAATCGCAGCAGTTGTTTTTTATAAAAAAAAAACAACGAAATAGGACGATTCGTTTTTTGGTCCATATATTATATCATGATGAAGACAAACCAAATCATAGCTCAGCTGACATTTCATTGTGGGGTCGTCGCCCTCTTAGAACCCCATGGCTTTTGGCAAAGCTAAAAAGGTTCTTTTCTTTCTTCAATACGCAACCTTTAACTGCACAAGAACAATTTACATTCACGACACAGACCGGGAGAGAGAAATCAGGAAGGCATGAAGAATAATATATAGGAGACTAAGGATGGGTCATTTTCACGTGGGAGAAAATGGGGGAGGGCATATGTGGTACTCCCAACTCTTAAAACCACTCGAAACTGTCCCCCTTCTCCGATCCTCTCCAACCTTTCGTTCCACGATCTAATATTCTTACATAAAGATTGAAGATACAACTCATATTTGGCATGGATCGGATATCGTTGAATCATGTTCATTTCTCCCAAATCTACACCCATATGATATTTGACACTGACTTTGCAACTTGTCTCTGTCCACATTTGGACTACTCACGACAACGTGGCAGTCTCAACAGCCCCGATAGTAACGTCCGTCTTCTGCCAACTTGCGAGGGATTGAGCGACCTGTTACGGCGTCGACTCCTCCGTCAGGGTCGTGGACCATACGGTCCTACGTGGACGGTCTTCGTGGCGCCACATGTGGCATGCTTTGGTTCAGACAGGATCTTGAGTGTGCCAGCCCCCCGCAGCACGTGAGGCTCACAAGCGTGGAAAAATCGGAGCTGCGGCCATTAATATCCTTCCAATGTGTATCGCCAAGGCATCCTTCCCTGATTTAGCTTTTTATCACGCCGGATTCTGTTTTCATTGCCTTTATTCCTGCTTGAATTTAGTTTTAAAAAAAAGGGAAATTAACCATGGTACTTCCGTGTTCTGGCTGCTAAATTAAAATTTGTAAAATTTTTTAATCACCGCCGACGTCGTATGGTGTCGGTAATCTATTAGCATGTGATATCGATCATTCCAAGATAGCAACACCAACGATGAATGTTGTTTAATTATCGTCATGCATCGTGTTTTATATATATTTTTGGTTTACTTCTTCCGTTTGTTGCCTGTTGATAGTTCGCTTCATGTAAGCTTATCAAACATGGCAGAGTTATACTAGTACTTGACTTGTAGAGGTGATTACACCATTATATTGTACAAAACCCTTTTTTGATGATCTCGTACCAAGCTTGAATATAGAGTCTAGGTCGAAACCATTTTAGTCATTGAACATATATATCTTCTAATTCCGTTCGACTTCATCATTGCACTCATTGGATAATAGCAAGAAAGAGAAAAGAATAGAAGTTGACCTACAAAGGTGGATGCTGTCAGGCATGTTTTCACTGTTATGATTCCCTCCAAAGCACACATTCACCGGTTCGTAGCTTTCCATTGCATTATTTAAGCCACTGATGTGGCAGCACAAGACTCGACGATCTCCTTATTCAACGTCATCCACTTCTTATTGCTTTGTGCACGTGGATGAACTAACCAAGTTTGGGTAAATTAATAGTCCAATGGTTGCTCTATACATACGTACGTACATTCACACATTGTTCTTCCATAACCACAAAAATATGCCTGGTGTGGTTAATCATAGTAGGAAACAGAGAGTCGTCGGATGCAAACAGATGGCGGAATCACACGTGAAATAGAGAAGCTTCAACATGATAATAGTTTGAAGAATATATTATACAATCATGAATATGGTTCTTTAACCCTAAATGTGTTTTTCTTTTTTCCCCCTGTTTTTTAATCAGTGGAACAACATCGTCGGGTCCCCCATCCCTCACAACCATGGGTCTTAATGGCCTGGACGGCCGTTTGCGTTATCCCCTTCTCCAGTCTCTGTCTTTGACTATAGCTCCTCTCTCTTTTGTCTATCAAATAAAGTGCCCCAAGTTTCTTTCTCACCTCCTCTACTTAGCTTAGCTTGATGTCACTCGTCAATGTTTTTGTTTTTATTATTTCTCTTCAAATAAATTTAATATATAACGTTTTTTTTATATAATCCCTAATATAATAAAGAAATTTACAATAAATTTCAATTTCATAGTCTCCTATATTATCAAATTTCGAAACCAATACTTTACTTCATGAACAGATCATTCAAACTCCGCATATTTTCAATTTATGAAAATTCTTTCATAAATACTAACATCTTCAAAACGATTATATACCACCAATGGATTGATGCACCGGAAATATCAATAGAAATCTGTAGTTCACCATTACGGTAGCAATCTTTCCTTCAAAAATAAATTATCTATTGACTTTTTATTGATATGAAAAAGTTAATAAACAAATAAATAAATAAAAAAATCAATAAAACTATAATAAAATCATGTAAGAGTTTATTCCTTTTTTAAAAAATCAAAATAATATTACTGCAAAGTTTGAGACAACATAGTCATCATCGTCGATCAGTAATTCATCCAGATCTATAGTCCACCAAAAACACATAAAACAAATCAAAGCAAATGCTAAATTGCGTGTAGACGTGCCATTTTTTCGTAATTGATGTTATGTAATCCAAAAGTTGTTATTTTGCGCAAAGTATGATATTATCTGTGAATTCTTGGAGCTGATTTCTACCAACTTTGTGGTCATTAATTAAAACATTAATAATGACGTAGTTTGTTTTTCGTAGTGGGGTTTTCATTCAATTCAAATGGAAAAGCTAAAGCCTTTTTTTTTTTTGTCATATGTAACTGCAAAAACGGGATGAAAAGCTAGTCCAATAATATTAGCCGTCGTTTAATATTGAAAACAACACACTATCTAATATTGACACAATCATTAGAATAGAAGGAACTTAGAAACATCAGAAGCCACAGATTGATGCACACGTGTCAGCTGCCAGCCCAGAAGACTTGGATGCCAAGTGTCACCACGTACGCATGGTGGCCACGTGGATGTCTGTGTCCTGCGCAACGCACGACCTCTCACGACAACGTGGCAGTCTCAACAGCCCCGATAGTAACGTCCGTCTTCTGCCAACTTGCGAGGGATTGAGCGACCTGTTACGGCGTCGACTCCTCCGTCAGGGTCGTGGACCATACGGTCCTACGTGGACGGTCTTCGTGGCGCCACATGTGGCATGCTTTGGTTCAGACAGGATCTTGAGTGTGCCAGACCCCCGCAGCACGTGAGGCTCACAAGCGTGGAAAAATCGGAGCTGCGGCCATTAATATCCTTCCAATGTGTATCGCCAAGGCATCCTTCCCTGATTTAGCTTTTTATCACGCCGGATTCTGTTTTCATTGCCTTTTTTTACCACACCCCCTCTTTATTTTATTTTAATCTCTATATATACGTCAGTGTGATTTTTATCTCCTTGTTGGAATTGATGATTTTGGGGGGAAAACATTTAGTATGAGAGGAAAGAGCAAGTGAAAATCTTCCGATATTCTTTTAGTACTAGTTTATACACAAACTATTAACTGTCGACGATCTTCTTTTAGTACTAGTTTATACACAAACTATTGTACCAAATTCTAACAAACTCTAATATAAGGAGAGAAAAAATAAAATAAAAATATCTTGTAGTTTCAACTAAAAGACTAGTAAGAATCTGAGGGTGACGTGTCACCAAATTCAGTCATAAAAATAAGACATTCTCGATAAGCGGGTCACATCCGTGAGTGTGTGTATCCCCGTTATATAGAGAAGCGGACGGGCCATTGTTTTGTCAGATACGAGAGGAGAGAGCAGGAGATGGACGCAGAGAAGGCGAAGGAGTATGGGGAGGAGGAGGAGCGTTGCCCAGTGGAGGAGGTGGCTCTGGTCGTGCCGGAGACGGATGACCCGAGCCTGCCGGTGATGACATTCAGGGCGTGGTTCCTGGGTCTAACCTCATGCGTCCTCCTCATCTTCCTAAACACCTTCTTCACCTACCGCACTCAGCCCCTTACCATCTCCGCCATTCTAATGCAGATCTCCGTCTTGCCCATCGGCAAGTTCATGGCTCGCACTCTGCCCACAACGCCTTACGAGCTCTTCGGCAGGAAATTCAGCCTGAACCCGGGTCCCTTCAACATCAAGGAGCACGTCATTATCACCATCTTCGCCAACTGCGGCGTTTCGTTCGGCGGCGGCGACGCCTACTCCATCGGCGCTATAACCGTTATGAAGGCTTACTACAAGCAGACCCTCAGCTTCCTCTGCGCCATCTTCATCGTCTTGACCACTCAGGTTACCTTATCTGTCTCTTCTCAGCAAATTTAGAAACTTTTAGTTCTTCTCTGCTGTTGACGGGTTCTTGAATGTTGAACAGATTTTGGGGTACGGATGGGCCGGAATTCTGAGGAGGTACCTGGTTGATCCCGTCGACATGTGGTGGCCTTCAAACCTCGCTCAAGTTTCTCTCTTCAGGTTTTTTCCTTCCTCAGTTTCATTCTCTTACTGTACAATGTTTGAATTGCTTTGAGACGATGCGATTGTGGTTACAATTGGTTGGATTCCTAGAATACAAGTCAAGTGCCTAAATAATTAGACTAAATCGGATAAACTAGCCACCAGATAAAATTCCAAACGTTGGGATGCCTTGCCCTGTTTTTCTTCGTCTGATAGGGCACATAACATCCCCAAGGTTTTGCCTTTACAATCCATGAAGTTGTTGATGTGTTAGGGCTCTGCACGAGAAGGAAAACAAGACGAGAGGCTTGAGCCGAATGCAGTTCTTCCTAGTAGCTCTTGCGGGAAGCTTTATATACTACGCCCTCCCCGGATATCTCTTCCCAGTTTTGACCTTCTTCTCGTGGGTCTGTTGGGTTTGGCCTAAAAGCATCACGGCACAGCAGGTTGGTTCCGGTTACCATGGACTTGGGTTGGGAGCCTTTACTATCGACTGGGCTGGCATTTCTGCTTACCATGGCAGTCCCTTGGTGGCTCCTTGGTCCTCCATCGTCAACGTTGGCGTTGGCTTCATCATCTTCATCTACATCATTGTCCCTCTCTGTTACTGGAAGTACAACACCTTTGACGCTCGCAAGTTCCCCATTTTCTCCAATCAGCTATTCACTTCCAGTGGCCAGAAGTACGACACCACCAAAATCTTGACCCCGCACTTTGATCTCGATGTCTCTTCTTATAACAGCTATGGAAAACTTTACCTTAGCCCTCTCTTTGCTCTCTCCATTGGATCCGGGTTTGCCAGATTCACCGCAACACTGACTCATGTGGCCTTGTTCAATGGCAGGTGAATTTCTGAGCTGAACGCTCGCTGTTGAGTAAAGCATTACGTTTTTTTTTTTATCTAAACAGTAAAGCATTACCTTGAATGACCGATGGTGCTTTCTTGTTGTTTTGGTAGGGATATCTGGAGACAGACATGGTCCGCAATGCAAAATGCGAAGCTAGATATCCATGCAAAACTGATGAAAAGCTACAAACAAGTGCCAGAGTGGTGGTTTTATGTTCTGCTGTTAGGAAGTACAGCTCTGTCACTTTTGATGTCTTTCGTGTGGAAGGATCAAGTGCAGTTGCCATGGTGGGGAATGCTGTTTGCTTTTGCCTTGGCCTTTGTAGTTACTCTCCCAATTGGTGTCATTCAAGCAACTACCAACCAGGTAAATACTAAATATACACGCTCCAGTTGGTTTTGAGTTGTACACCGGATAGGCCACTGTTGTGACCCGTTGCTCGTGAATGTGCAGCAACCAGGGTACGATATAATAGCACAGTTCATGATCGGTTATGTTCTGCCGGGAAAACCAATTGCAAACTTGCTTTTCAAGATTTATGGGAGAATCAGCACAGTCCATGCTCTCTCTTTCCTGGCAGACCTTAAGCTTGGTCACTACATGAAAATTCCACCGCGTTGCATGTACACAGCTCAGGTTTCACCTTTTCTTCAAACCCAGAAGAGATCTGGAGCTAATGATCCTCCCTTTTTTTTTGGGGTTTTTCAAATGGAATATGTAATTTTTTGAGATGGGTCGGGTTCTTGCAGCTGGTGGGCACTCTTCTAGCAGGAGTGGTGAACCTTGGGGTGGCATGGTGGATGTTGGAGAGCATTCAAGACATATGTGATATCGAAGGAGAGCACCCTGATAGCCCGTGGACTTGCCCCAAGTACAGAGTCACATTCGACGCATCTGTGATCTGGGGATTGATTGGACCAAAAAGGCTCTTTGGACCAGGGGGCATGTACCGTAACCTGGTCTGGCTGTTCCTGATAGGAGCTGTTCTACCTGTTCCCGTGTGGGTGCTGAGCAAGATTTTCCCCGACCAGAAGTGGATGCCTGTCGTTCACTTTGGCATCTCAGGCGGAGTGGCGCACCGTATCAGCGCCCAATTCACGCCTTTAAAGAAAGGATGCTGCTTTTTCTCAGTTGCACCTCGCTTGAAAGCCAGTCTATGCTGTGGTTCATTCATGAAAAGCCCTCGTATGAGATCCTTAGCAGCGAAACTCACCACAGGTGCCTTTGGAAATCGAAGAGGCTGACCAATCACATTGAATAATATCTGGCGGTTGCCAGATCCTTTGAAGGGTGTCCTGCCAAAGAATAGCTCGTATACAAAGATCCCAAAAGTCCACCAACCCGTGCCCTTCCCCCTTAATTATCTCTGTAGCCAAGTATTCATGCGTCCCAACAAAGACATAGATCGGGCATCAGTTGGCTCAGCAACGAGCTCGGGTAATGGGCTAGCTTGGTTTCCTGTGTCGTTTTTGGATTTCCGTTCCCTTTTGGACTTGCTTGAAGGAATGCCTCCTGCCACCCCGACCAACATCGCTAGCTGGCTCGTCACAGGAATGATCTTCAACTACTTCGTGTTCAAGTACCACAAGAGATGGTGGCAGAAGTACAACTACGTTCTGTCCGCGGCTCTTGATGCAGGCACGGCTTTCATGGGGGTTTTGCTCTTCTTTGCCCTGCAGAATGAGGGACACAACCTCAAATGGTGGGGGACACAAGTAGACCACTGTCCACTCGCTTCCTGTCCTACGGCTCCTGGAATTAAAGTTAAGGGATGCCCTGTTTTCTGACTATTTTGATGATGTTCATCCGCTGTTCCACTACATTTGTTTTGCCCTTTTCTTGCTTCTTCGTATAGAATATAACGCAACTCCCTAGGAACGTGAGTGCACCAAGGTAAATAAATTCCGGGACGTGAGAGATCTCCTGCATTTTTCTTTTCCTTGATCTAAAGGAAACTGTCACAAGCGATGAAGGCCCAAGAAAAGCAGACTCGATTAGCTACTACTTGTTCTCCCTTTTTAATGTATTGTCAACAATATTCACTTGGATTATCTAAACATTTCCTCTTCTTTTCTCTTTGCGCAAGTTTTAGCAAAGCTAATTACATAACAAATTGTCATAAAAAAAATGAAGAGCTCCTCTCGAGAGTTAAACTCGTGAATTGAAGCCCATCTTTGCACTTTGAAGTGTTTTGGACACACGCTGGAGAGGAGAACCTGACATAGAGAAAGAGTTGGAGCGGGACTGACATTCAATGGGCCGGGAGCCGAGTCACGACAAGGGTGGCCGTAGCTCCACCACCTCGTTCGTCTTGTGAAAAGCTTAAAGCACTGGTACAGCAAACAAGGAACAAGAATACCGAGAGACACTTCATGATATGATCATTTATTACACAAGTGACGTGACCTTTCTCTGAGAAAAAAATGATCGAACTCGCGATCCTTCGCTTACGATGCCAAGGGACACCGTGATATTCGAGACGGAGCCTTGTTTTCGTGTGATAACATTAACAGGTTTGTGATGATGATGATGGATGCCCGAAAATTGAGAGCTGGGAGGATGAGTTTGAAAGCGAGCGTGGTGGTAGAGTCCGCAACATCTGACGACGACAACTCTCCGAAAAGCAAAACCATCGATCTCGGCAATGAAAGCAACGTCCTCTTCTATCCTAGGTTTTTCCCCTACGACCAATCCTGGGGTTTCTTCCATTTCCTCGACAAACACATCCCCTGGACTAGACCCACCATTCGTGTCTTCGGCCGATCCTGCCTCCAGGTTCTCTCTCTCCCCCCTCCCTTCTTATTCCATCTAGATTCATTTGGATTGCCTTGTATTGAAATGATTGTCTCTGGCGAAAATCGAAACAAAGTTTGCTGCTTCCAGTTGATTTATGTGCAAAGGAAGGAGCTTGGATTAGTGTGGCCATGTGGGATTACGCTCGAATGATAAATTTTATGTGGAAGGGAACCTAGTTAACAGTGCTCAATTCGTTTGCAAATTGAAGGACTTTATGGTGGTGATATGATAATTGCCTAATCATGTGTGTATCCGCCGTTTGTAGCCTAGAGATACATGTTATGTTGCATGTAGCGGATTGACTGAGCTAGTGTACAGTGGTTATCGGCCGCGTGCCTATTCTTGGGATGATTTTCCACCCCTTAAAGAGATCCTCGATGCTGTAAGATTGAATCCCGACCTCTCTCTCTCTCTCTCGCTTTAGAGATGGTTCCCAACTTTTTCTTTTGTTTTGTCATGTAAGGTTCACAAAGTGCTTCCCGGAAGCAGATTCAACAGCTTGCTGTTAAATAGGTACAAAGGAGGCAACGACTATGTGGGTTGGCATGCAGATGATGAGAAGCTTTATGGTCCAACTCCGGAAATAGCATCAGTCTCTTTTGGATGTGAACGTGAGTTTCTGTTGAAGAAAAAGAAACTGGAGGGTATGTGACATTACCATGTAGTGATTCCTGTGAACTCGTGGGAGGTTAAGCTAACGTGATTGATGTGAATGTGTAGAGAAAGCGCTGGATGATGAACCTGCAAGAAAGAGACTTAAGAGAAGCAGCGGAGGAGATGTGCGGTCTTTTACACTGAAGCATGGATCAATGCTGGTGATGAGAGGATACACACAGAGGGATTGGGTTCATTCTGTACCAAAACGTGCAAAGGCAGAAGGCATTCGTATTAATCTCACCTTTAGGCGTGTTGTGTGATGTTCCTTGGGGTAGAATGTGCAGTCGGGTTTGGAAAAATATCAACAACTTCGGTGCCCTGAGCAAGGAGATGTATTTCTTCAATGAGGTGTAGCAATCACTCAATTTCTCTTTCAAACGTGTGTTTTGTGTTTGAAAAGGCGGGCAATGGTGATGTAATTTGGGTTGTAGGGAGGTGGCCTCTTCCAAATCAGAACCAAATAAACAAAAAGAATGTTAAAAGGAGAGAGAGGCAGACGTGCCAACCACCAAAATTGCTATTTAGGGATGTGATGAGAGGTCTTAACAGTAAATGCACGTATGATGGGATTGTAACCGTTAAAAAAAATAGACATGGTGCACAAAAACACAGGCTGATTTTATAAGAAAGAAGCCAACACCATACAATTACAAAGGGATTGAGAGAGAAGGCTCATCTTTTAAACAAAGGTAATTATTCCCCTTTCTTCTCCGAATTGCCCTGTCTTTGGATCCGCTGAATCATCCGTGTGAAAGGTAGATTAGGCAGGAGAAAACGCTATGATCATTCATTCAAAGATATGTTGATGTAAAATACATTCGTGCGTTTTGGTTTCAGAAGGAAAGGAATGGTGAACATAAGAGTAGCAGATCGGAACAAAGGGCCAGAGTCGCCCAAGACAGAGGTTGGGGAGATAGACACGAGAGCCCCTTTCCAATCTGTCAAGGCCGCCGTCAGTTTGTTCGGGGAAGTTGCCATCTCTCGCCAGAGAAGTACTCCCCGCAGGTCCAGACTCTCCTCTGAGGTACCCGACCAACCTTTTCTCCTAATGTTTTCTTTTTTGGATCACATATTCTTCTTCATTCTTGTCTTTCTGAAATGTTTTATCAGAGCGTTCTTGATAAAGAAACACAGCTAATGCTGGCCCAGAAAGAATTCTCCAAGATCAAGCAGAAGCTGGAGAACACCGAGGTCACCAGATCCCGGGCTCTATCTGATCTCGCCATGGCCAAGCGTACCATGGTCGACTTAAGCAACAAGCTCCAGACGGTCAACCTGTCCAAGCTCTCTGCTTTAGACACCAAAGAATCCGTCCAACAACGAGAAGAACAGCTTGAACACGACAAATCCCATGGCCGCCACAACCATGAGCTCGACCTTGCCAGAGAACAGTATCTTTCCACAACAGTTGAGCTCGACGCCGCCAAGCAACAACTCAACCAAATCAGACAGAGCTTTGATTCTGCCATGGATGCTAAATCCTCTGCCCTGCAGCAGGCCGCCGAAGCACAACGTGCCATAGAAGCGAATTCTAGGAAGGTCGATGAGCTGTCCAAGGAGATTTCTGACATGAAGGACGCCATTCAGCAATTGAAGTCTGCCGCTACCCAAAATCTTCAGGAGTATGAAAAGATTATGAAAGACAAAGACTATTTACGGGACTGTTACAAGGCTGGTGTCGAAGATGCTGAGAAGAAACTGTTAGCTCTGAGGAAACAATATGATCCTGAGCTCACAAGATCCCTGGAGGCGAAACTGACTGAGACAACATTGGAAATCGAGGTGTTGCGTGAAGAGATGAAGAAGGCTCATGAATCTGAGATGAACACTGTTAAGATCATAACAAATGAGCTTAATGATGCAACTACCAGACTACAGGAGGCTGCAGATGAGGAATGCTCTCTCAGAAGCTTGGTCAATTCTCTGAGGATGGAACTAGAAGACTTGAGGAGAGAATGCGAGCAACAAAAACAAAAACAAGCTGAGAGATTGGCAATGGAGGAACAAAAACAAGCAGAGGCGCTCGAACAGGAGAATTTGAAGCTGGAGCAGATGTTGTCAGAAGCCGCAAGCGTGAGAAGAGAAGCTGAGAAGATGAACAGGAAGACTGAGGAGCTGAAGAAGGAAACTGAGGCTGCTGTACTAGCTGCAGAGGAAGCGGAGAAAAGACTAGAGCTTGTAATAAGAGAAGTTGAAGAGGCGAAAACAGCTGAGGAGAAGGTTCGCGAAGAGATGAAGATTATGTCTCGGAAGCAAGAGAGCAAGAAACAACATGAAGTATCAGCCTCCAAGATTAAAATCACAGTGCAAGAGTTTGAATCTCTGAAACGAGGCACGGCTGAAACTGAGAAGATGATTGAGATGAAGCTGGCGGAGATAGCAATTCAGCTGGAAGAGGTCAATGCAAGAAAAACCGAAGCAGATAAGAACTTAGAGGCAAACCTGAAAGCGTTGGAGGAGATAAAGACTGCTACAGATTTGGCTCAGAAGTCAGCGGAATCTGCAGAAACAGCGAAGAGTGTGGTGGAAACCGAGCTGAGGAGATGGCGTCAACAAGAAAATGTGCAACATGCATAGAGATCAAGCCTTTTGCTTCAGGAACATGATGAATACAAGCCCTGTTCGTACACTGGCACAACACTTGATGCATCTAAAAACATCTTTCACTGATTTTTTTTAGGCTTTTTACAACGTTAGGGGCGATGAGAATGAGAAACATGTCTATACTGCACGGTCATTTATTGTATAAAGCTTCTTTGTTTGAACTTTGTCCTGCGCTGTTAAAAGCTCAATACTCAGCCAACAACAATGGTGGCACAGGTAGCCTTTCTATCTCCAAAGAATAATGCCATGCGCGATAGAAACAATGGACAATAATAATGCCATGCACGATACAAACTGTTTGTCAACAACAAATAAACTCTTCTCCTACAACTCTACCGTTTACCTGTTGCCAGCAAACGCTAGAAGAAATCAAATTGGCGATAATTATCAGGCTGAAGGGCAATCCCCGGGCCAGATGACAATGGTGGCACAGGTAGCCTTTCTATCTCCAAAGGCTTTGGCATCTCAGGCGGAGTGGCGCACCGTATCAGCGCCCAATTCACGCCTTTAAAGAAAGGATGCTGCTTTTTCTCAGTTGCACCTCGCTTGAAAGCCAGTCTATGCTGTGGTTCATTCATGAAAAGCCCTCGTATGAGATCCTTAGCAGCGAAACTCACCACAGGTGCCTTTGGAAATCGAAGAGGCTGACCAATCACATTGAATAATATCTGGCGGTTGCCAGATCCTTTGAAGGGTGTCCTGCCAAAGAATAGCTCGTATACAAAGATCCCAAAAGTCCACCAACCCGTGCCCTTCCCCCTTAATTATCTCTGTAGCCAAGTATTCATGCGTCCCAACAAAGACATAGATCGGGCATCAGTTGGCTCAGCAACGAGCTCGGGTAATGGGCTAGCTTGGTTTCCTGTGTCGTTTTTGGATTTCCGTTCCCTTTTGGACTTGCTTGAAGCAAGCCGCAGGTGTGCAATGCACGATAACGAGAAGGCTGGATGCAGTAAGCAGGGTACTTGCGTAATCCATGGGACCCATCGGTGTTGTGTTGGGTGGAAATTAATGGGTTGTTGATTGGGCTAATAAATTCAATGGCCCATTAATTAAATGGTTGGTGAAACTGAAACACTCATGGTCCAAGATCCATCAATCCATTAAATTCAGTCGAACCACACTCCAAATTAAATACGGGGATATCACATTATACTAGATTTTTAAACAGGGGAGATTTTTTTTTGTGCACACATATTTTGTTTTGCCAATACATATATCCACAATGATTATATGTTCGGTTAATTCTCAAAAAATTAAGTGGTGCCCTGAAACTAAGTGCCGTTCTAAACTTGTGTTGGGATTGAGGATCTAGTAGAATATGATTTCATTATGGATTAACCTAGCTAAGGTTCATAAACATATAATTAGAAAGAACTATCTTACAATCCCTAACGATTTATAACTTCATAGTTTTCCTCCATAAGGCAGCAAGTTCAAAGAGGGGCAGGATGGCTGTTCCTATTAAATTAGTTAACGAATTAATTAAACTGTTGCTGGTTCTGTACGTGCCGTGCCATTGATATTAAAAAAAAGAAAACAATCTGAAGGTCAAACAACATCACCTCACCGCTCACGCGGATTGCAATCAGTGAAAAGTCTCCGGCGACATCTTCTCCAGTCTCCACGTCTGTGTTTCCTCCGAAATTTGCATTATAATGGTGTCCATAGTTTCACCACTTCAGCCGGCAGTCTCTCCCCCATATCTCCAACCTTCAAAGCCATTCCTCCTCATTTTCCTTTCTGAGCCCTCATCGTAACAACTGAAAATCAATCTTTTTTCTACAAAAGAGATTTTTTTTTGGGTTTTGTTTTTCTTCGTCCTTGTCGGAACCGCGCGATCCTTCCTATTTCCCCTAGCCGCGATCGTTGTCGGCCTATCTCGTAGATTTATCCTCTGTAATTTGATTCGTCTGTTGATTGATGTAATCAACAGCGATCGCTATGAAGCTTCAGGTTCGAGTCTCAGAAGCAAGGAATTTGCCGGCCATGGATCTCAACGGGTACAGCGACCCCTACGTGAGATTGCAGTTAGGGAAACAGAGGACAAGGACGAAAGTGGTGAAGAAGAACTTGAACCCCAGATGGGCTGAGGATTTCTGTTTCGCCGTCGATGATTTGAGCGAAGAACTGGTGGTGTCTGTTCTTGACGAGGATAAGTACTTCAATGACGACTTCGTTGGGCAGGTTCGAGTGCCTGTTTCCCGTGTTTTCGACGCAGAGAATCAATCTATCGGAAACGTTTGGTATCCCCTTCAGCCGAAGAAGAAAAATTCCAAGAAGGATTGTGGTATGCCTCCCTTCTCCTCAAATGTTTCATCATTTTCACTAGCAAATGGATGTTTATGTGTAAAGATGAAGTTTTGAGATTCCGATCATGGTCGCTAGAATCGCAGTAGCTAAACTCGGAACTTTCCTCTTTATCTGATCCCTGTTGGGCAGGTGAAATTCTTCTGGGTATATGTTTCAGTCAGAAGAACTCCGCTGTCGATTCGAATTCCAATTGTGAGCACGACTTCAAAGTGGAATCACCCGGTGATCCGTCTACATGCGTCTCTCCTTCTAGATCAGAAGATGCTACGTCTTCCAAAGAAGATAAATCAATTTCGCAGAAAACTTTTGCGTGTCGAATTGCTCAGATTTTTAACAAAAATGCAGATAGTGCACCTGCGCTGTCGACAAGTAGGAGCATGGATTTGTCCGAGGCATCTGAAATCTCTAAACCGGGGTCCTCTATTGAGCAGTCTGAGGATGAATCATCTTCTGCTTCCTTTGAGGAAGTAATGAAGTCAATGGAGTCTAGAGATGAGGAAAGTGAAACTCCGAGTGATCTTCCGGGAGGGATCCTTCTGGATCAGTTGTATATGATTGCCCCATCAGATCTAAACGCTCTGATATTCTCGCTCGATTCAAATTTCTACACATCATTTACTGAGTCGCAAGGTACCACGGAGGTTCATATAGGGCCCTGGAAATTTGAAAATGAAGGTGAGAGCCTTAAAAGAATTGTTACTTACCTCAAGGCTCCGACCAAACTTATCAAGGCTGTCAGAGGCACTGAGGACCAGACATACCTTAAAGCTGATGGGAAGGTTTACGCTGTTTTAGCAAGTGTGAGCACTCCAGATGTTCCTTACGGAAGTACCTTCAAGGTCGAACTGCTTTACTGCATCACTCCTGGCCCTGAGCTGCCAGCTGGGGATCAATGTTCTCGTTTGGTTGTTTCTTGGAGAATGAATTTTCTGCAGAGCACCATGATGAGAGGTATGATAGAGAATGGAGCCCGGCAAGGTCTAAAAGACAACTTTGAACAGTATGCCAATTTGTTGGCTCAAACTGTAAAGCCCGTCGATTCAAAGGATATCGGGTTAAACAAGGAGCAGGCTTTGTCTTCCTTGCAAGTCGAGACACAGTCAGACTGGAAATTGGCTGTGCAGTATTTTGCCAATTTCACTGTCTTTTCCACTTTTCTGATCGGTGTTTATATACTCATCCATATTATGCTTGCTTTACCCAGCACAATTCAAGGCCTCGAGTTTAATGGTCTTGATCTTCCGGATTCGGTTGGTGAATTTGTTGTCAGTGGGGTTCTTGTTCTTCAAGCTGAAAGGGTATTGCACTTAATTTCTCGTTTCATTCAGGCAAGAAAACAAAAAGGTAATATCAATGATGATACTATCGACCATCCGTCTTTTTACATGTTGCTGGCCTCTAGTTCCTGACCTGCTGTCTTTGTCACCCATCTGTCTTCAGGCTCATAATTGTTGATTAACTAATGGCATGCGATGTTTCTTCTGCTTCATATGAATCCAATTATAGGCACTGATCATGGCGTCAAAGCTCATGGAGATGGCTGGTTGCTCACTGTTGCTTTGATTGAGGGGATTGATCTAGCAGCTGTGGATTCAAACGGACATTGTGACCCATATGTGGTATTTACTTGCAACGGGAAGACAAGAACCAGCTCCATCAAATTCCAGAAATCTCATCCTCAGTGGAATGGTAAAAGTTCTCTCTGATTGTACTTTGTCTAGCTATTTCTCATTGTGGTCAAATGATGTTGCCTTTGTGTCTTTTGCAATATTGTTTTTCTGCAGAAATATTTGAATTTGACGCGATGGATGACCCTCCTTCAGTCCTAAATGTTGAAGTTTATGATTTTGATGGGCCTTTTGACGAGGCCGTTTCTCTTGGACATGCGGAGATCAACTTTGTGAGATCTAATATATCAGATCTAGCGGATGTTTGGATACCACTGCAGGGAAAATTGGCTCAGGCTTGTCAATCAAAGCTGCACCTGAGAATTTTCTTGGATCATACAGGAGGTGGAAATGTTGTGAGAGAATATTTAAATAAGATGGAGAAAGAAGTGGGGAAGAAGGTATGCTGTCGCTGCTTTTCTCCCTGAATTAACATTTGCGGCATTCTAATCCCCCTGGAACTGAAATTGCAGATAAATGTGCGTTCTCCTCAAACGAATTCTGCCTTCCAGAAACTCTTTGGGCTCCCACAAGAGGAATTTCTGATCAATGATTTCACATGTCATTTAAAGCGCAAAATGCCTATGCAGGTGACAATAAGTTTTGATGTTTCTTTTAACCGGAATAATGAGGTATTGATTCGATTTTTCTTTGCCCAGGGTCGTCTATTTCTGTCTGCCAGGATTATTGGCTTCTATGCAAGCCTTTTCGGGAACAAAACAAAGTTTTTTTTCCTTTGGGAGGATATAGAGGACATTCAAGTGCTCCCTCCCACACTTGCTTCAATGGGAAGTCCCATTATCGTTATGACTCTCAGACCAGGTAGAGGAATGGATGCAAGGGTTGGTGCCAAGACACAAGATGAAGAAGGCAGGCTTAAATTCCATTTCCACTCATTTGTGTCTTTCAACGTTGCACAAAAGTAAGTCACAAAGTATAGGCACTTCACATTTTCTTCTCCCTGGACCTTTTTATAGACTCGCCCTTTCCCACTTCCTAATTTCTAAGCCCATCCATTTAGACATCCCAGCATGATGGATGAATCTAGAATGTGCTCTGAAGATAGCATCATTTGGGCTTTTTGATCCCATATATTAACGTTTTAAAGGAGGTTGTTGGTGGCTGTGTATGAATAGGACAATTATGGCTCTTTGGAAAGCGAAATCTTTGAGTCCAGAACAAAAAGTGCAAGCCGTTGAAGAAGAATCAGAAGATAAGCTTCACAGCGAAGAGAGTGGTTCATTCTTGGGGGTTGATGATGTCCGATTCGCTGAGGTTTATTCTTCTACCCTTCCTGTTCCGGTAAGTCAGCTTAATGGTAATTGCTAATGTTGTATCATATGTGTGAGACTGAGAATGTGCGTGATGCAAGCTTCAAGAAGCTATCAACATCATGTAAATGAAGTAAGCTAGCAAGTAAAGTGTTTAAAGAAATCTTACAAGGAAAGCATCATGTTTTCTTTTTTTGGGGTGATTCCAGGTAAGTTTCTTCATGGAGTTGTTTGGTGGGGGTGAATTGGATCGTAAAGCTATGGAGAGAGCAGGTTGTCAGAGCTATTCATGCAGTCCATGGGAATCTGAGAAGGCTGATGTGTATGAGAGGCAGACATACTACAGGGATAAGCGCATTTCTCGCTATAGAGGAGAAGTGACAAGTACTCAGCAAAAATCTCTTCTGCTGGATAGGAGCGGTTGGCTTGTTGAAGAGGTTTTGACTATCCATGGGGTCCCTCTCGGTGACTATTTTAATGTATGGATTCCCTTCTCTTTAACGGGCGAGCAATATCAATCAACAAACTGTAGGATTTACTTCTCTATTATTCGTGATTTTTACAGCTACATCTTAGATACCAAGTGGAGGATTTGCCCTCAAGACCAAAGACCACATATGTTCGTGTATTCTTTGGAATTGAATGGCTAAAGAGCAGTAGACATCAGAAAAGAGTGACAAAGAACATCCTCGTGAATCTACAGGATCGCCTGAAACTGACATTTGGCTTCCTGGAGAAGGAATATGGGAGCAGTTCATAGTAAAATTTACTTTTTTTACAACAGGAAATTGCATTTGGAGAGCTCGTAGGATTCAGGGTCTGAAGCTGGCTCCAACTATTATAATTGCCTATCCCTTTCTCGGGAAACACAGTGAATTTGAAAAAAGCTTGTTGCCAACTTGCTCGTGCTCGTGTACTTACACTTGTAGAAAAATGAAGTTTCTCTCGAGCTTTGTAGTTTGATTTTATTTCTTACTCCTTTCCCTTTTCTTCTTTTGTTGAAGAAAATATGAGTGTTGTAATGAGGCACATGGGTTCAAGACAGACTTATTATTCTTTGTAGTAGAAGAATCTGTACATCCGAGCAATCATTTTATGATTCAGGTGATACATCTCTCAGGCCAAAACTTTGCACTGTCGGCAGCAGAAAAAAGATTCATTTGATCAGCCAAACACATTTGTTAAATGTTCAAATATCGTACATCTCTTGTCTCGACGGCACAAAACGCGGTTGCCAATGAACTTAATATATATTTTTTATTGCCAAAGAGTAGAATATTCATAATCCAGAAAAAGAAAAATCATAGCATATTGCTGGAAAAACTCGTTGCCAGTAGCAGCTTGAACAAATCAAACAACCCGTTGTTGATAGCGAGAAAATAAAAAGTATAGCTGTGCATAGGGTTTAGGGTTTAGGGTTTAGGGTTTAGGGTTTAGGGTTTAGGGTTTAGGGTTT